AGTCTTGAGGGCTTGAGGGCTTTTCTGTCAGGGCTGGTTTTGAATCATGATCCTCTGGATCTCAGCCTCTTGGGTAGCAGGATTTTTGAAACCACTAAGGTATAGGGCAAAATTCTCTATACCTTCAGGGAAATAATGAGTTTTAGAAAGCTTGGTGAGCTGTAGATTCAAATGCTAACTTTCATGCTTTGTCAGCTGAGAATACTTGACAAGGTATACAGCCTCTTGTTTTCTGTTTTCTCACTAGCTGAATAAAAATGACATATCTTTTTAAAAGGTATTTTAGGAGATTCAGAAATCTAGCTGACAGCAATTGTCATGGTTTATATAGGCCTTAATAAGTGTCCTTCATTTCTCGTTCTCCTTTGCCTCTCAAAACCTACTTCAGTGTCCTGTTGAAATATTATTTTGTGAATATTTATGCAATTATTGTGTAGAAGTTTTTTTGTGTAGAGTTTTAGCCGTACTCCTGATATTTTATGATATATTCTTGGTTATTCTAATAGAATAAGTATTAGCGAAATCTGGCAGAATCCCTTGCTAGATAGTGATTTTTACTAAATACGCATCAGTTAAATGTCTTGTGCATTAATAAATGCGCAGACAAAAATAGACAGGGCTTATTTTGGTTTACTCCTTGATAGATGATCTTGCTGAACCCTCATTAAAGTCATAGTCTTTTCTTTTTCTCAACCACCTCATCACACATGTGGATTCTCTAGAAGCCTCCAATAGAACAACAAAAAGAAGATTACAGATTAAATTGATGTACTTACCAAAATTTTAACACAATGTATGTTTTATTATCGTAGCTTGAAAACTAAACAATTCTGCAGAATACATATTAGGCAACGGGTTTTTTTCCTCTATTTGGTAATTCTGAAGTGTAATAATAGAATGCTGTACTTATGATACTGAGATTTTTCTTATGCATGAGCATTACAGATTTTTATTTTCTTCGTCATTGAAGTGAGCATGTCAGTAATACTTTTGCTACTTATTTGAAATGGCTGGAGCTGAATGGTTTATTTCAGAAAATAGGTGATAGTTCTGATCCTGGTTAAGCTCTCATTGACATATACCATTTACTTTCCTAGTGGAAAATTTTCTGGGTTGTTTTGCCAAGACTGTAAAAGCATAACACTTCAGAAAGGTTTTCTTTCAAATTAAAACATATACAACTATGAAGCTATTTGCTCAAAATAGAGTTATTTTCTGAGAAATTCTTAATTCCTTTTTTTTTTTAAAGTCCTGTCAGCTTTGTTGTTAATTGTTCAAAATGTAACCTTTGCTGGGTGCCAGAGCTGCCTATAGTCCTGAAGCTATTCAAGAGGTTGAGATCTGAGGATCATGGTTCAAAGCCATTCCAGGCAGGAAAAGTCCATAAGACTCTTACCTACAATTAGCCACTAAAAAATTGATACTGGAACTGTGGCTCAAGTGGTAGAGCAACAGCCTTGAGCAGAAAAAGCTTATGGACAGCTCCCAGACCTCTTTGCTTATGTCTTCTGCAAAGCTGGGATTTCAGGCCTGTGCAACTGTACCCAGCTTTTCTTCTTTTTGTTACTCCCTCCCTCTCTCCCCCCCCCCCCCCCCTCCGATCACTAAGCCAGATAAGCGAATAAGTTATTTTTATTTTTTTTATTTTTGTGTTGGATGGAGTTTTTAACTCAGGGTCTCATGCTCTCTTGGTCTTTTGGGTTGGGTAGGTGGGGAGATGCTTTTTGAAGCCATTTTCTGGTCAAATGAATGAACTGAATTTTGATGTTTTGGAGCTAGAATCTTCTCTCAAAGATGATTTAGGACACTCCCTTATTTCATGATTGAGTAGAGATTACATAAACTAGATTAGTGAGTTATAAGCTTTGGCCCAAGATTCATGTCTGAAGACTCTGGTGCCTTCCATAGTGCTGTTATTTATTATTTAGTTAATTAATTTTTGTGCAGGTTCTGAGGCTTGAACTTGGGGCCTGAGCTTTTTCACGTAAAGCTAGCACTCTGCTATTTGATCCACATATTCACTTTCAACCTTTTGGTGGTTAGTTAGAGATAAAAGTCTCATGGACATTCTGCCAGGCTGTCTTTGAACCTTGATCTTCAGATCAGAGCCTCCTGAGTAGCTAGAATTACAGGTGTAAGACCCTGGCACCCAGCTTTGTGCTGTTTTTTGGTTTTGGTTTTGGTTTTGGAATTTTTTTTTTTTTTTTTGCCAGTCCTGGGGCTTGAACTCAGTAGCTGGGCACTGTCCCTGAGCTTCTTTTGCACATGGCTAGCACTCTACCACTTAGCCATAACACCACGTCTAGCTTTTTCTGTTTATGTGGTACTGAGGAACTGAACCTAGGGCTTCATGCATGCTAGGCAAGCACTTTACTACTAAGCCCCATTCCCAGCCCTGTTCTGTTATTTTTAAAAGCAACTTTTGAACTTGATAGGATTTAGAATGGTCAGGGCTCCCTAGTCAGTTTTAAGATACAGCAGTAACCTCCTTGATTTCTTCTAAAGAGCAGTGAGAAATAGAACTCTACCAGCCTTGTATCTGTAGTGCTTAACACTTTGTCTGTATTTTAATTTGCAGTTGAGGGAATATAAAAGTTGAACTACAATACATTTTCTTGAGTAAAGTATGTTATTTGAATGGGAGACTTGGATTTTTGCTGTACTTATTTCATTCCTCATATGCATGAGCACATTTCTAGAGAACTTTATTGTCAATATTTGTAATGTAGATGAGAGCGACAGATAGCCATGTTATCTGTTGCTTTCTCTTATTTACTCCTATGATCAATTTGCGTTGTTCATTGCTTTCTAGTGAAAAATATTGTGATCTCACCAAGCATCGTACATAAATATTTAAGATTCTATTTGAATATAGCAAATTGTTTGCAAGCTTTATCTGACTCATCCAGCAACACTTAGTTTTTTGTTTTTTAACAACTGCTTCCTCCTACAGGACTCCTGAGTGTTGGGGTTACCAGTGTATACCACCATGCCTGGATATTAATTTGTTGGACTTAAGACAAGAACTCCTACTCTGGAACGAATGTGTTGACATCAGGCTTGCACCTTAAGCATTTTCTTTTTTCTAGCCCCATTGTGTCTTATTTTCTATTACCAAAATTTTATAGAAAGATTAGAAACTGAAATAATAAAAATAGACTGTCACATCTTTTGTTTAGTTTTGGTTTTAAAGTACAATTCTTAAGAACATCGAAGTATTGCAGGCTGGGAATGTGGCTTAGTGGTAGAGTGCTTGCTTAGCACGCATGAAGCCCAAGGTTCGAGTCCTCAGTACCACGTTAACAGAAAAAGCTGGAAGCGAAACTGTGGCTACGGTAGTACAGTGCTAGCCTTGAGCAGAAGAAGCCCAAAGACAGTGCCCAGGCCCTGGGTTCAAGTTCCAGAAATTGCAAAAAAAAAAAAAAAAAAGAGAGAGAGAGAAACATAGAAGTATTGCTTCCAAAATCGTATTTTTTTTAAATCTTCAAATTCAGTAAGAAAAAGAAATACTGTAAGTTGCTTGCTCTAAGCTATTTTTGTTGCTGATGTACAATGTATTCATTTGTTCCTTTAGTCAATTGTCATTCAGTTCTAAAAGTATGCATATTTTAAAAACTAATCTGTTTGCATAAATCTCAGTTTAGCCCTGTTAATAATGACAATTTTAAATTTAGTGCCATAGAAATTTGAATTGCTTAAGTAACTAGATAAAATATCTGTTGACATTTCCTTTTAGCAAGTGAGATAACTTGATTGCCAGAAGGGCTGATGGTTTTGTTTTGGGTTTTGTTTTTGTTTCTGGTAAGGAATGGGTACATGGCTTCTGTTAGTGGAACAACACTCCCATGAAGATCTGGGACTTTGAGGCTGTGTTCCCTAGCACCTTAGCTTTGCCCCATTTATTGTCTAGTAAGGATAGAGCATTTAAGACTACCATTTGTTGTGTAAAATATGTTAAGTGTATTTGAATGAGGAATCATAGTACTTACAAGTTGAAAAGAATCTAATGGCCTGTGGCAGGAGTATCTAGGATCTTTGTTACATTTTTATGGCTTTTGCAAATAGCTTTTTTTTCTTTTCTGATAACCCGCCATATTTTATCATCTCATATTTCAATAAACAAGTTAACAGAGTTGGAATTAGGCTGATATGTGGGACTGAGCTTTCATTGTTCTTTAGGGCTTCATACACTAGTAGCTCACACTTGTAATCCTTGGTACTCTGGAGGATTATGTTTTGGGGCCAGCCTACGCAAAAAGTTCACAAGATTCCATCTCAGCTAGGTGAGGTGGCATGAGCCTGTCATCCCAGCTGCAATGAGAAGAATAAATAGGAGAATGGCAGTCCAAGCTAGCCTATTTAAAAAAATAATAGCTCACAGTACACTGGAGATGGGGCTCAAGCAATAGAATATTTGCCTGGTAGTATAACCCCTCCCCCAGATATTCTCAAATTATTTTGATAAACCTTTTTGGTCTTCTTTATGAGTGATATTCTGTAAGTTTTATTTTTTGCTTATAAAATATCTGTCTTCTTGTATTTTCAGTTTCTCCTGGTTTCATCTTCAAAACTTAAACTCTTGGGATTTGGCATTTGCCTTCCTCATTCTTCTGTCTTTTGTCCTCAAACTTTCACACCATATATACATGCAAGCAACAATACTTTAAGGACTAATGTGTGCACAGAGTTTTGGATTCTTTTCATTATTATTGTTCAGTCTATGTTTACAAAATAAAAGGTAATTATTCCTGCCTGGTACCATGGCTGAAATGTAAGGATCACAGTTTAAAGACAGCACAGATAAGAAAGTCCATGACACTCTTATCTCCACTTAAGCATCCCCCAAAAATCTGGAAGTAGAGCTGTGGTTCAAGTGGTAGAGCACTAACTTTGAGCAAAAAAGCTCAAGGACAACACCCAGGCCCTGAGTTCAAGCCCCAAGACTGCATATACAGATGTGCACACACAAGGTAAATCTTGTGTCCCTTTCCTCATGACAGGTTTCTGTGCTTTGCGTAGTTTCCTGAAGAAGCAGCCTAATCTTCCTGACAGCAAGGTGTCCAGCTTGGTGAAGATCACTTTGAATGATTTCTTGCAGGGAATGAAGAACATCAGGCCCAGTGCTATGAGGGAAGTAGCAATCGATGTCCCAAATGTAAGTTATCTTTACTGCATGCTAACTTTTCTGTTCCATTTAAGCTCTGAAAGAATGAGATTCTACAGAAACTGTCTTGCTTTGTTAAACTTCAAAAACATTTTAGTCGAAACATTGTTTATTTGAAATTTTTGTAATTGTGCGATAATTGTGGATCCAATGCAGTTGTAAAATAGACACTGTGCATTCTTTACTGTAGTGATACTGTTCTGCAAAACTGTAGCACAAAATCACAAACAGGCAGTTTGTATTATATTGTCTCTTGATATTACACTTATTTTTTCACTTATACTCTTGTTTGTGGGTGAGTATTTATTCCTGTACAGATGTTTCATATGCTAAAGGTTGTGGCATTGATTACCACAATCAATAAACTGACTGCCAGGTGCCACGACTCATTTCTGTAATCCTAACTACTTAAAAAGGCTGAGATCAGAAGACTGCAGTTTGAAGCCAGCACAAGTAGCCAAGTCTATGAGACTCTTATCTCCAGTTAACTACCAAAAAGCTACAAATGAAACTGTAGCTCAAGTGGTAAACCATTAGCCCTGAGTGTCCTGGCCCTGAGTTCAAGCTGTAGTTCTGGCACAGATACAAAAAAGATACTAATTTTACACCACAAAGATTTCACACATTGGCCTTTTCTAACCATATCCACCTAATGCCATTTTTAACCTTTTATTATTTCAAAAGGACCATATAGATGGAATTATAGCCTTTTGAAATTAGGTTTTTCACTTAACATAATTCCCTAAAGATTTATCCAAATGGTTGGATGTGTCATACATGATTTCTTTTTGTGTGTGTGCTGGTCCTGGGGCTTGAGTTGAGTGCCTGGACTCTGTCTCTGACTTTAATTGCTCAATGCTAGTGCTTTACCACTTGAGCCACTCCTCCACTTCTGTTTTTTTTGCGGATGTTTAATTGGAGATGGGAGTCTAGGGGACCTTACCTACCTGGGCTGGCTTCAAACCACCATCCTCAGATCCCAGCCTCCTGAGTAGTGAGGATTGCAGGCGTGCGCCGCCAGTACCTGGCTGGTTTTTTTTTGTTTTTTTTTTGGTCGGTTGTGGAGCTTGAACTCCTGGGCTCTGTCCCTCAGCTCTGCAGTTTAAGGCAAATGCTCTACCACTTCTGGTTTTCTGGTGGTTTATTTGAGATAAGAGTCTTACAGACACTCCTGCCCGGGCTGGCTTTGAGCCACGGTCCTCAGATCTCAGCCTCCCGAGTAGCTAGGATTTACAGTGGGTTTCTTTTAATTTTGCATAATGTTAGCCTCCTTGCTGTTAGTACATTTGAGAAAAGGAAAGCTTTATTTAGTCTGTTTTGGAGGTTTCAGATCATTGTTGGTGACTGCATTGCTTTTGTGCATGGCAGTCCTTCATGGTGGAGAATGTGGAGGGGAAGTTGCTCACCTCCTGGCAGCTGTGAGGTGGAAGAGGAAGGGACCATGGCCTAGAGACTCCCATTGTGTCCTATCACTTAGCAGGGAAAATAAGCTTTTCACACAGTGACCTTTGGCAGACATAGCCACAGTGGTAGTTTCCCTAATATGTATATGCTTTAGTTGTTTATTCAACACTAGACTTGTTTCTAGTCTTTTACTACTATGAGAGAAGTTATGAACGGTTATTGTATGTATGGAATGCATGACAAGTATGGTTGCTGGGTGATACATTTTTTTGCAGTTAGGAAATGTCAACGAGGCTGACTTTAGAACAAGCTGACGACATTGTTTCATCAGTTTGTTTTACAAGCATATTATTACAGGACAGCAGGCCACCTTTAGTTTGTGGGCCATGTGTTATGTCCCTCATGACCCAAGTGTGATACAAAGAATAACAAAGAATGAAAGGTGGCCTCATAGTTTTCTTGGGACATGTTAACATTACTAACAAATGGACATTAAGACAGAAGCACTGGCAATATGTTGTGTATGGTACTGAGAAAGAGGTGGACCGTTAAAAATGCTTACTTGGAAGGATGTTGATTAGCCTTGAAGTGAGATTCCCTTTATTTCTATGAGCTACCATGTTTAGTACTTGTTAACTTTTTATGACAACTAGTTATTTAAATTTAGGCTGGGAAACTATATCCTACAGATAGGAAGTTCTCCTAAGGACTTGCCTCTGGGTTGAGGCAATCATTGTGGTTTTGATTTCTTTTTGAGACATTTTCAAATTTGATTGGCTCAATTTGAGGGTTTTTCAAAATCCATGTAGCAGAACATACTCATTTAGCATTAATTATTCTACAAATGCTATGGAATAATGAATGATTAATGTTGGTTTAATGGAAACTTAATATCTCTGGATTTATAGTCCAATTTTGGGTCACACTGATATGAATACTTTTTTGTAATGTTCATCTTTTAAAAAATTTATTGTGTGATTATAATGGGTCAGATAGATGCTTAAATCATCAGAATCACACATGAACATTTCAGGTGCTGGTTAAAAACTATTCCAATCTGCTATAGAGTTTAAATGTTTAGGTCCTAAGCGTACTGTGTGGTTTTAAACTTAAAATTCCTGCCAGTGGAGAATGTGTTTAATCAGTGTCTGTCTAACTCTTGGAATTGCTAAACTGATTCATCATAGGAACTGGTACTACAACTGTGCTTTTAATTGCTCTAATAAAAGACCTTTTTTCCTTTATTTTCTTTTGATAGAATATTTACAATGCATGGATGTGAGCCATTTTCCATTTGGCACTTTATTTGGGTTAAGGCCATGGTGTACTGTGATGTTACTCATGAACTGGGGAATGATTAGCACTGGTGAAAGTACTTTCTACAGTGCTTTTTATGTCTGCTGTAAGTTATAAAAATTTTCCTAAGAAGTCAATATTTTTATAATTAGATTCCTAAGTTTTACTTTCCTTGGTTCTGGCTACTATATCTATTGAAATACCGACAAAGTATTTTTGCAGAGGGTTTAACAACTTATTTTGCTGTATTAAATGTGTCACATTAAACCTGGGCACCACTGGGTCACGCTTATAATTCTTGCTACCCTAGAGGGTTGTGGTTCAAGGTGAGCATGAGCAGCAAGTCCATGAGAGTTTTATCTCCAATTAATCACCAAAAAAAAAAAAAATGCAGGAAGTGGAGCTATGGGTCAAATGATAGATTGCTAGATTTGAGGAAAAAACTGAATGACAGTATCCAGACCCTTGAGTTCAAGTCCCAGAACCAGTGTGCATGCATGCGCACACATACACACACAGACAACCATATGCTCCATATTTGTATTTTCAGTAGGTAACTCTAAATACACTATAACCATTACTAATTATAAATGGTTTTCTGAACTAAATATATGAAATTTATATCCATTAAGTTTAATACATTTGTACGTATTAAGTCTTATCCAAGCTTTCCTTTCTCAGTTTACATGAAGGGTCAGTTTATCCTTTTTTTTAACTTGGAAATAATTCACCTGTATACTTCTTTTCTTACATTTGGATTCCAGTTTTTAGTATTTGGATATTTGATTCACAGTAATAGTAATAATAAAAAAATTATAAAGATAGGTTCTACTTTCATGTAAAACCCAGTTTTATAATGTGAATGGTCACTAAAGCATTAGGACCAGCTATAAAAGCCCAGACTCCAAAATTAAGTTTGGATCCAGGTTAAACTTATGAGTTGAATGCATAACAAATGCCATGAATTGAGTAAACATTCCTGTTATCCTCACTCCCCCATCTCTCCCCTCCCTCTTTCTCTTCACTCTCTTCTCTTTCCCCTTTCTCCTTCTTCTCCCTCCCTCCTCCTTCTCTCTCCCTCCTCCTTCTCCCTCCCTCCTCTCTCTCCCTCCTCATTCTGTCTCTCTTGTGTTCTCTCTCCTCCCCCTTTTTTCCCCCTCTCTCTGCCAGTCCTGGGACTTGAACTCAGGGCCTGAGTGCTGTTCCAGAGCTCTTTTCCACTGGGTTAGCATTCTACCATGTTGAGCCATAGCTCCACTTCCAGTTTTCTGGTGGTTAGTTGGAGATGAGTCTCACTTGGACTTTCCTGCCTGTACTGGTTTTAATTTCGATCCTCAGATCTCAGCCTGCTGAGTAGCTAGGATTATAGGCATGAACCACCAGTGCCTGGCTTGTTATTCTCACTTTTAAAAGCAACAAACTTAATTATTTGAATAATAAGCTGTCTTTCATTAATTTATATATCCAAAATTTCCTGCTGCATTTTTAGATTAACCTACAACTTGAGAATGTGACTGTCCATTGCATTTCCTAGGATTAGTATATTAGCAGTATGCTGAATGAACTTAATAGCTTTAATTATATTTAATTCTTCATATACTCTTAGAATAATTACTTGAGTTCCTTTTTTTTTTTTTTTTTGGTCAGTCCTGGGGCTTGAACTCTGGGCTTGGGCGCTATCCCTCAGCTCTTCAGCTCCAAGGCGAGCACTCTTACTGCTTGAGCCACAGCACCACTTCTGGTTTTCTAGTGGTTTATTGGAGATAAGAGTCTCACAGACTTTCCTTGACTGGGCGGACTTTGAACCATGATTCTCAGATCGGCCTCCTGAGTAGCTAAGGATTCCAGGTGTGAGCCTCCGGTGCCCCGCTAAGTTCCTATTCTTTAGCAATAATATACATTATATACTTCCTCTGTAAATTTTTTTATACACAAATAATGGAGGATTTCTGTGATGTTTTATTAAATAAAATGTTGCTGTTTTAGGAATGGATACTACAACCTGTGGAAATTCTATTAGTTCTGTGCTGATGCTCGGCAAACCTTTGAGGTTGGTTTCTTTTGGTTTTGCTTCTGTTGTCTAGACAGAAAGTGTATTCTTCTGTCAAATCTCAAGATCAGTCTTCTTTTTCTTTTTTTGCTGAGCCTGGAGCTTGAACTGGCCTTACTGCTGTCCTGAGCCTGTCTGTGTTCAAGGCTAATGACTACTTGAGCCGCTTCTGGCTTTTTCTGAGTAGTTTATTGGAGATAAGAGTTCATGGACTTTACTGCCTAGGCCACCTTTGAATGCAACTACGATCCTTAGATCTCAGCCTCCAGAGTAGGTAGGATTACATGGGGTGAGCCACTGGCGCCTGCCTCAAGATCAGTCGATCTTGCTAACTTCTTATGCCTTTTCAAGTTTTATGTAGTAGCAATAGTACAGAAAAGCATATTGAAAGTAGATTAGTGTGTGTGTGTGTGTGTACAGGTGTGCTACTTTTTTTTTATTTAAAGAAAGGTGAGATACAGAGGGGTAACAGTTATAAGTCAGGTAATGAGTATATTAGATTACTTTTAGCCAGGAAATATTTTGTGCCAGAATCAAGATGGTAGCATTAACCTTATTAAAAAATTTAGAAACATAGGTCCCATGGTTTCCCTTATTTGCAATAACTAGTATATGTCTGAGACAAGCAGAGAAGGTCAGATAAGTTGATGTTAGGTGAAATGAACCCCAAGATAAGTATTCAAATGTTTTTTCTTTCATATTATAAGATGATTTCTAATATATTTATAAGATGATTTCTTTGTTGCTTTGTATGTCCCTCCTCCACAGTATAACCCCTGCTTTTACTGTATTTGATGTTGGTATAATTTGTGGAGAGGAAGGAAAAAAAAACAAATCATTTAAATAGGGATACAGGTGGACCCATTGTAACAATGAGATGTACAAATTGTTATGTTGAAAAAGGAACTTTACAACTTTGGCGGGGGAAGGGAGTGATGGGAAGGGGAAACAAAGGAGGAGGCAACAATTCTTGATAAGAAATGTACTAATTATCTTGCCCATGTAATTGTAACCCCTCTATACAGTATTTTCACAATTTCTTTCTATCCTCCACCCCTTACCCCCAGGTTTAAGGCTTGAACCTCAGGGCCTGAGTGCCTGCCTCCTGAGTTCTTTTGCTTATTAAGACTAGTACTTACCGCTTGAGCCAGTTTCACTTCTGGCTTTTTTGGTGCTTAATTGAAGATCAAAGTCTCTTGAACTTTCCTGTCGAGGCTGGCTTTGAACCTCTATCCTCACATCTCAGCCTCCAGAAAATCTAGGATTTACTTTGTTTTGTTGATCATGGGGCTTGAACATTGGGCCTGAACACTGTCCCTCAGTTCTCCAGCTCAAGGCTAGTGTTCTACCACTTGAGCCATAGCACCACCTTGGGTTTTCTGGTAGTTTTTTCAGATTAGAGTTTCATGGCCTTTCCTGCCCAGGCTGGCTTTGAACCACAATCCTCAGATCTCAGCCTCCTGACAAGTAGCTAGTATTTCAGCCATGAGCCACCAGTGCCTGGCTCAAGTTGTTTTTTTTTTTTTTCTTTTTTAATATTTTTATTATCTTTCAGTAGTTGTAAAAAGGAGTTACCATATATTAACCAAAACAGTTAAAAATACAGTGCATCTCGATCAATGTCACCCCTTTCAATATTCTCACCCACCCCTCCCGTACCACCCCTTCCTTTATTTATCTTAAGTTTAGGCTATACATTGAATATTTTGCCATTCAACAAAGCTGTTTATGTGTACATGTATTTTGTTCTGGGTCATCACTGCAGCATCTTCATGCCCCTTTTGTTTTAAAATCAGCTCTCTGAAGATAATCACCCAAACATAATTATGTCTTAATTATCTGTATCATAAGCCACCATTATTTCTTTAATAAGCCACCATTATTTCTTCTTTTTTTAATGTTTTTTATTGTGAAAATACTGTACAGAGTGGTACAGTTACATGAGCAAGGTAACGAGTACATTACTTTTCTTTTCTTTTTTTTTTGGTCTGTTGTGGAACCTGAACTCTGGGCCTGGGCGCTGTCCCTCAGCTCTTCAGCTCAAGACTAGCGCCCTACCACACGAGCCACAGCGCCACTTCCGGCCTTTTCTGCTTATGTGGTGCTGAGGAATTGAACCCAGGGCTTCATGCATGCAAAGCAAACACTCTACCACCTTCCCAGCCATCCATGAGTACATTTCTTATCAAGCATTGATGCCTCCTCCTTTGTTTTTCCTCTACTATCCCTTCCCTCCCACCTCCCCCACTACACTGCCCCCACCGCCCACCCCCCACCCCGCCTAAATTGTAAAGTTCATTTTTCAACATAGTATTTTGTACATCTCATTGTTACAGGTCAGCCTGTGTCCCTATTTAAACATTTTGTTTTTACCTTTCCCCTCCCCAAATTAGATTGACATCAAATACAGTGAAAACAGGGGTTATACTGTGGGGGAGGAACATACAAAGCAACAAAAAAATCAGATGGTACCTTATAAATAAGTTAGAAACAATACCAAGAAAAGAATGGAAGAAAGCATCAAGTTGTTTTTTTAAAGCAGGTATTTGTGATAGATCCTTAATGGTTCTCCCTGTACTCTGCCTCCCCTCAAGTGAATCCTGTCCCAAAAGTCCTACTGAAGCACAAATTGGATTATACACACCATTTTCTATACCTAAAATTCCACTGTATGAGTCTGACTTGCTTCAGTTTTCTCCTTTAAATGTTTGTTCCTCACACTCTTTATGCTTCCTTCTTTCTCAGAATTTTGCCAGTTTTTTTGGCCTCTGCATGACCATTTCCCTGTTTTTACATCTTATGCATCCTTCTGAGAGAGTTTGCTTTCAAATTGTCTTCCAGCTGGAATATTTCCTTCCTCGGAGCTGCCAAAGGCTTTTCTGTTTCTTTTGTTATTGTACTTAGTGTCCTTTCCATTGTACTGTGGTTATTTGAATGTTTGTATATGTTTTAAAAATTTCAAAATTAAAAATAAAAGATGAGAGACACCAGGAACTACCATTCAGGATAACAGGTCCTTTACTAGCTTTTGAGTTACTTAAATCTGGATTCATGTTTTCTTCTATTTTCTAGGTATATTTTCTGATAAGCACATCATTCATATGATATGTATAAAAAATAGCTACTTTATTTTGGAGATATTTATGTCAGCAAAGAAGTTTGAATATACTTCATTTGTATGCCAAAGACAAAACAATCAGAAGGACTTGCAGAATTGTTCTTGAAATTAAACTTTGTTAAAGAAGAAGCTAAAGAAATTAAATATGGGTTGGGAAGGTGGCTCAGTGGTAGAGTGCTTGCCTTGCATGCATGAGGCCCTAATTTCAATTCCTCAGCACCACATAAGCAGAAAAAGCCGGAAGTGGCGCTGTGGTTCAAGTGGTAGAGCACTAGCCTTGAGCTGAAGAGCTCAGGGACAGCGCCCAGGCCCAGAGTTCAAGCCCCACGACCGACCAAAAAAAAAGAAAAAAAAAGAAATATATAAGCTGGGTACCACTGAGTCATGCCTGTAATCCTAGTCTGGGGGGATCAGGTTAGGAGCCAGCTCTGACAGAAAAGTCTATGAGACTCGTACTCCAATTAATTAACAAAAACGCCAGGCTGGAGGAATGGCTTAGTTGGTAGAATGCCAAACAAAAGACCAATGAAGCAAGTCTTTAGTTGAAGTCCCAGTGTGCTCTCACACACACATGAAAAAGTAATAATAGGAATTAAGTATATAAATTTAAATGTATAGATAAGTGAGGGAGAATGATGGGAGTGGGGACTGATGTGACTTAGATGTTAAATTGTAATCTTGCACAGCCTTTTGAAATTGAAAAATTATACATAGATGGATGAGGGATCCAGCTGGGATCACTGACTCAGAAAATTTTCATATAGATGAGACTTTTTTTTTTTGTCGGTCATGGGGTTTGAACTCTGGGCCTGAGTGCTGTCCCTCAGCTCTTCAGCTCAAGGCTAGTGCTCTACCACTTGAGTCACAGCGCCACTTCCGGTTTTCTGGTGGTTTATTGGAGATAAGAGTTTCACGGACTTTCCTGCCCGGGCTGGCTTTGAACCTCGATCCTCAGATCTCAGCCTCCTGAGTAGCTAAGATTACAGGCGTGAGCCACTGGGTGCGGCTAGATGAGACTTTTAAAGCAGAAGATAAACTTAATAATATGTCTAATCATGTAAGAAGTGTTTATACAGTACTAAGCAGAAATGATTTTTTTAGTATTTTTACAATACACTGATCCTAATTTACTACTCCTAATTTAATGTACTCCTAATTTACTATTTTATATTCTTAAAAGGACCTTCTTAAATTTTAAATGGGTTGTTAGCCCTTGTACTTTCTTTGCTGATGACATGCTTTGGTTTTTGGGTTTTGGGTTTTTTTTGTCGGTCATGGGGCTTGAACTCTGGGCTTGGGCGCTGTCCCTCAGCTCTTCAGCTCAAGGCTAGCGCTCTACCACTTGAGCTATATAGCACCACTTCCCGTTTTCTCGTGGTTTATGGAGGTAGGAGTCTCAAGGTCTTTCCTGCCTGGGCTTGCTTTGAACCACGATCCTCAGATCTCAGCCTCCTGAATAGTTAGGATTACAGGCGCGAGCTACCAGCGTTTGGCTGACATGCTTTGTTTTTGTTCTCTGTTTGGCCTGCCAAACTTGCATTTAGAAACTGTTGTGTTTTGCAGGTATCCTGGTCAGATATAGGAGGAATGGAGAATGTCAAGCTGAAATTGAAACAAGCTGTGGAATGGCCTTTGAAACACCCAGAGTCATTCATTCGAATGGGTATTCAGCCACCTAAGGGAGTTCTTCTGTATGGGCCTCCAGGGTGCTCTAAAACAATGATAGCCAAGGCTTTGGCCAATGAGAGTGGACTGAATTTTCTAGCTATAAAGGTAGGCTGTTAATTTTTTTTTTTTTAATGGTTAATCTATCTCTGACTTCTTTCTACATTCATTTTCTACTTTGGAAAAAGCAGCAGCTAATTTTTTTTTTTTTTAATTGGTCGTGGGCTTCAACTCTGGGCTTGGGCGCTATCCCTCAGCTCTTCAGCTCAAGACAAGCACTCTACCAATTGAGCCACAGAGCCACTTCCAGTTTGCTGGTGGTTTATTGGAGGAGAGTCTCACTGAATTTCCTGCCCAAGCTGGCTTTGAACCGTGATCCTCAGATCTCAGCCTCCTGAGTAGCTAGGATTACAGGTGTGAGCCACTTGTGCCCAGCCTAATGTTTATTTTTATTTGAGGTAGATGACAAGATAATATAGAGAGATGACTGAGAGGAATAACTTAACTAACCTATATAATCACGATACCATAGTGGACCCAGATTCACTTTTCTTGCTTCCTGATATTTCTTATACACATGTGTAATAGAAACTAATGCTTTTGTTTCTACATTGTTTTAATTGTACTTAAAGACTTTTGACTAGACAAGACTTATTTGTAAATATGATAATGAGTTGAATATTTATAAACTGATTTTTTTGGTAAATTTACACTCTAAAAATACATTTCAGTCAGAAAATAATATACGCACCATATTTTTACTTAAGTACATAGACACAGATGCATGTATACATTTTATTGGCTCATTGCTTACTTCCATTGCTTGAGATGTATCTTTCTTGATAGTTTCATATTTACTTTAGGACTAGATATTAATTTAATTACTTTTATGCAACAAAATTACAATATCACAATATTATGTATCTAGTTAGCAAATGCATACATGTGTCTATACTGTAAAATCCATTTCTGAGGATGATATAACAGAAGTATATCGTAAACATGTTAAGTGTCAATTTATTTCAGAAACTATTTTAATATCACTAGGCACCTTTTTAGTGTGTTACGATTTGTTTTTCTATCTTAGAAAATTGAAATCATTGGACATTTGAAATCATAAAGTTGGTCAGTTCTTTGCATTACTTCAAATACATATGTAAAGATATATGCATTTGTTCTTTAAGAGTCAGTATCTTCAACATATTTTTGGTTATTTTTCTTCTAGAGATTTTAGAAACTATTGGATAGGAGATCATTTAGACTGATTTTTGGTGAACCATGATTGGTTTTAAAGGTTGCAGTTTTGATTGTTAGAGTAATAAGTGATTTTGAAATTTTCAAGGACATCTTGATTTTTGTTTGGTCTCTGTCTCTTACCATATGGACATTGTTGTACCGGAATTCTCTCTGCTTTTTATTGTCATCTTTATTCCACTGTTTCTATCTTGTGTATCTCACAGTTGCATATTTTATAGTAGAATATTTTCTGTCTACTTGAAAATAAAAAATGTATTTGATGAGGACCTAGCTCACAGCTTTTTAGATTTGAATCTGAAAGGACACACATACTTTCTTAGAAACTAGTATCTTACTTTTTTTGTAATCTAATATAATAGTTATAGATGCTACTTAGTATAGCTCTCTGGACAGTCCTAGGATTATTTTAGAAATATGTCATCTATTTTCAATATGAAAACTTTCATAACTTTGAATACAATTTTACTTTTAGTCTTCTTACTGTAAGAAAATGGTAAGTGGTTCTTGGGAAGGTTTATCTTACACTTTGTTCATGGAAAATCTAAACATTAACTTGAGTTTTTTTTTTTTTTTTTGCTGATCATGGGGCCTGAACTCTGGGCCTAGGCACTGTCCCTGAGCTCTTCAGCTCAAGGCTAGCGCTCTACCACTTGAGCCACCTTTCCAGCCCTTAACTTGAGTTTTTTTACTTAAAATTTTAAGTGTTCTAGTTACATACAGAAAAGGTAAATGATGTTGAGAAATTATCTTGAGTTCATAACCTATTTAGAAATTGTTACTAGTTCTAATTATCAGTTTTAATGTGTATTTTTTTTCTGTATAAAGCCTAGTATAATTTACAGAATTAGTTTTGATTCTATAAGGAGGATATTTTTAACGAATAGTGGATGTTTATTCTTTCAACTTTATGTTTAAAATTTTTCAAAATAACAAGTTAGGAACTTTAAAAAAAAAGGTCTGATTAATACTTGTGATGAGATTTAAATAGTTATACCATTCAGATTGTGATGTGGAAATGAAGTCAATATAGTTATTGGTTCATATTACTCATTCTAGATTTAACTTTCTATGCTAAAAACAAATTGCTTTTTGCTTTGAACATGTATACCTGCTTTCTACAGGGCCATAGGTGTTATAATTTAATTTGACTACTTGGAAATAACCAATCAGCTACATTTTGAAGATGATCTGAAAAACATCTATCTTGGAATTTTCTCTTAAGAAATATGTATTTAGAATACATTTTAAAGATAGTGAAACTCTTTAATATTTTTTTTACTGCGGTCATTACCTTTGCTTCCTAAGATAACTTCTTTATGGTATGTTTTTTTTGTTTGTTTTTTGTTTTTGTTTTTGGTCAGTCGTGGGGCTTGAACTCTGGGCCTGGGTGCCGTCCATGAGCTCTTCAGCTCAAGGCTAGCACTCTACCACTTGAGCCACAGCACCACTTCTGGTTTTCTGGTGGTTTATTGGAGATCAGTGTCTCACAGACTTTCTTGCTGTCTTTGAACTGTGATCTTCAGATCTCAGCCTCCTGAGTAGCTAGGAGTATAGGCATGAGCCACCAGCACACTGCTCATAAACTGTTTTGAGACAAGATTTTTAACATTTTTTTCTTTAAATTTGTGGGGAAAAAAACCTTTAATTTTCCCTGTGTATCTTTTCTAACTAGAGATTAAAAGACACATTTATTCAATTCAGAGTTGAGACTTTACCTTGGCTTTGTGGGCTCTTAAGTATCCTCTGGAATATTTATGTATTTCTGTGCGTATGGTTAAGTTTAGTTTGTCATAAAGGTCAATTTCATCAAAAAAAAAATTTCCAGTTTCAACTTCTTTCTGCTCCTTTCTTGGTTTTGTGTAAACACTCATTAATAAGATAATTAAGATAGGATAACTTTTCTTTCATTTGATGAAGAACTGTCTCTGAATCTGGAAGGAGGATGGTAAGGGCTCTGATAAGGATTTTTAATGAGTCCTTTATTAGCAGTATTGGTGAATATAGGAGTTTTAAGAACTTAGTATGATTTTTATTTTTTGAGAGTTTTTTTCTGTATAATTGTTTCAAAGGAATTCTACAAAATACAATCCATTTTCAAGAAAAATTGTATTACTTAGAACAACACAGTTTAAAGTAATTACTAAAACTCATTTAACTAAATCTTCTGCCATTCTGTTACCAAAGGTATAAGATAATGTGAATTTGGGATTTTCCAAATTCATCAGGTGCAAGTGGCTCACATCTATAATCCTAGCTATATAGGAGGCTGAGATCCTTTATGACAGAATGATTCCATTTAGATTTGTGTTGCATTTGTTTTTTGTCTTTTTGTTTTTGTTTGTTTTTGTTTTTGTGCTGGTTCTGGGGTTGGAACTGGGCCCTGGGTATAATACCTCAGTTTTTTGGTTCAAGGCTAGTACTCTATCATTTGAGCCATAGCTCTACTTCCAACTTTTAGTAGTTAATTAGAAATAAGAGACTTATGACTTGGGCTGGCTTCGAACCATGATCCTTAGATCTCAGCTTTTTGAGTAGCTAGGATTGTCAGCATGAACCACCAGCACTCAGCTTGTCATGTGTTTTAAATGTTCATTTAGGAACAGCACCCTCAATGTTTAACAATATTGACATTTTTTGAAGTTGTTTTATAGGTACCCTTGAATATCCTTGGCTTTTTTTCTAACTCCTTATGATTAGGTTTATGTAATTCGTAAAAATGATGCTATTCTACCAGGATCCTGAGGGGACAGATAAATAATGTCATGTTATAGTATACTGAACAGGAAACAACAATACAAGTATATAAGTTGTATACTTCAGTAGTAACATATCACTCTTAGTTCAATGACTGTCACAAATGTACAGTGCTAATAAGAGATGTTAAAAATTAGGGGAGGTACAGTGGCTCAAACCTGTAATCTCTAGCTACTTGGGAAGCCAAGATGGGGACTTGATGGTTCAAGGCTAGTCCCGACCTAAAAGTTCTCAAGATTCCATCTCAGTGTGCAATGACACATGTCTGTTATCCCTAGGTACAGAAGAAGCAAAATGACAGGAGCCAGTGCTGTGCTGTGCTTCTGTCATCCCCAGTGACACAGAAAAGCACAGATAGGATTGCAGCCAACATAGTAAAGAATTGGAGGCATGGCTGATGCAATAGAGTGACTTCCTAACAAGTGTAAGACCTTGAGTTCAATTCCCATTACCTTCCAAAGGAAGGAGAAAAGGGAGGAAGACATAGGTGAGAAGGAAGAGAGGGAAGGAAGGAAGACGGTTTCTGTAGTATCTTCTGTGAATCTTTGACTTTGCTAAAAATTAAATGTCTATTGAGTATCACAAACCCAGGCATGTAGACATGCAGCAAAATAATTGAGGGCCAAAGACCAGGTAGAGCACTTGCCTCAAGCACAAAAGCTAAACAAGAACAAAACACCCCGAGTTCAAGCCCTAATACCAGCAGACAGGCAGACAGGTACTATATAAGTTCACCTGTGGATGCATACACACATATGCACACAGACATACACATGATTAAGTGGAAAAATCCTCAGGAGACTGAAGCAAAGAGGCTCAAGAGTTGTAAGGGATCTTGGACTACATACTGATATAGTCCTAATAAACCAAACCAAAATAAATCAAAAGGCTGGCCAGCTCTGAGGCCTATATGATTATAAGTAGAATGAGAAAAGGAGAATCATAGGGATGAGAGTGAATCTGTGACTTAAAGGAGATAGGTCCATCCCTCTGTCCATGATGATAGTGGAAAGTTACTGAGAAGAGTCCCACAAAGAATTTGGCTGGGCAAGTTCAGTTTGGAGCTTTCAGTTATAATCTGCAAATGTATGTGTGTA